AACGAAGCCAATGAGCCTCCTTTTCGATCAAATGAGTTTCAAGGTGTTTAGCTAATTCATCAAATAGAAGTTCACAAGCAATAAGCATAAGCTCAAAAATAAATGATGCTTTATGGTTTTCAAGTAAGACTATTCCTCCGTAGATATATCTTTGTTTAAAATTAAATTAGATTTTAGAGTTCTTGCAAAATGATAAATTATCATTATGTGTATAAAATAATTTACCTAATAATAATTTCAAATTGTTGTACAGAAACATTTTTCAAATCAAAAGTTTTAATATTGTTCTTATCTTTATTGATATTTGCTAATTCATTACGAAAATATAAAGATCTGTATCTTAAGATTGCTGAGTGTGCTTGGAATATTTTGGTGTTTGGGGATTCACCAACATTAATGATTATATTAAAATCTTCTTTATCATCAAGTAGTTCAAGATAATTATTTGAAAGTTTTTCAAAAAATTTTACTGCCATTTTAAATAAACTTAAATTTACGAAATAGATTAGTGGTGATCAAGTGTAACGTAAAATTACTTCGTTTAAAAGCTTGAATTAAATATGACATATGATTGACCATGTCTCGTGACCAGTGATTACTTTTCACAGTGAAACCTCCATAAGTGCACCCCTATAAGCTCTCTAAATGCACGCTTAAATTCGGGCCAAAATATATACATGACCTTTATAAATGCACTTTTTATTATTGTTCTCTAAGTGCACGTCGTTAAAGTTCAGTCCCAATAGCGTGCACTTATAGAGCTATTTTTCGCAAAAATATGTGAATTATGAAAAATTACAAACGTCACAGCTAAATGCAATAATTTTATTCTCGACAAAGTCTGTCAAGCTTTTAAGATGTCGAGTTAAAGTAAGGTTAACAAAGTTATATTTAAACTACCATAAATAGATTACTACGATAAACATATTTATTTAGTGAATTTATTAGCATGAAATTTTTAGAGTTTCTTGCTAATTTGAAATATCTCATATTCATCTACCGAAAAATATGATATACGAACGTTGTCGTATGTAGATGCATCTCTAATTCGTTTTTCATACGAATGTTGACGATTCCAACATTTACGATCTTGATTAAAATTATTCGACATAGCTAAATCACATCCACCACCAAAAATCGGACCATAACTTGCATTATTACGAATTGCATATTCCGGTTGTTTTACTCGACTTAAAATAGAATTTTTAATTGTACTGTTTTTCAATGAAAAAATAAAGGTATCATTGCAATTCTTATAACTTCCAACTGATTTATCCCATCCAATAGGATTATATCCACCAAGAATTCCATCAGTACCTTTAACCTTCATGACTACCACAAGATGTGTTTGCTTGTCACATAAATTCCAAAACGAATCAGCTGTAAAGCTATCTCTAGTTCCACGAAGTAGCAGTTTAAATTCATATGGATTATTTGTTGTAGAATATACATCAGCTTTTTTGTCAACCCATGAAGCAATTTCTGCTGTATGTTCTTCATTAATAACTGTCGAAAATGGTTCGGTATTTCTAATCGGTAATGTTGACTTCAAAATTACGCGAGGTGGGAGGATTATTGACGATACTTGTCGGTTTGGTGACATAAATTTGTTTGTTATATCTTTTAAAAGATTCTTATCCAGAATTTTTTGATATGGTTGTACATAATCAACAATGTCATCACCAGACATATGAAAATAACGGATAAGAGGCAAACAATTCCGCAAAGTGGTCTTTAAAGTTAGAAAATTTTCTTTGGTCCAGTTTTCAGGATCTGATGATAAACTAGGGTTTTGAGCAATTCCCCATTTAATAACATGATTCCAAATTTTTACTTCCTCCATTTGTAAATCATCTCGACTAATAAGCGAGACTAACGCATTTTCTTGAAGCGAAATGAAATCTTCTGATTCAAAAATCTTATCAGGATATTTTACCACAATATCATTGCACCATTTTTGTAATTCTTGAAGTTTATTATTCTGGAAACTTTTTTGATAAACATAAGTAAATTGTAAACGAAGCCAATGAGCCTCCTTTTCGATCAAATGAGTTTCAAGGTGTTTAGCTAATTCATCAAATAGAAGTTCACAAGCAATAAGCATAAGCTCAAAAATAAATGATGCTTTATGGTTTTCAAGTAAGACTATTCCTCCGTAGATATATCTTTGTTTAAAATTAAATTAGATTTTAGAGTTCTTACAAAATGATATAAATTATTATGTGTATAAAATAATTTACCTAATAATAATTTCAAATTGTTGTATAGAAGCATTTTTTAAATAAAGAGTTTTAATATTGTTCTTATCTTTATTAATATTTGCCAATTCATTACGAAAATATAAAGATCTGTATCTTAAGATTGCCGAGTGTGCTTGGAATATTTTAGTGTTTGGGGATTCACCAACATTAATAACTATATTAAAATCTTCTTTATCATCAAGCAGTTCAAGATAATTATTTGAAAGGTTTTCAAAAAATTTTACTGCCATTTTAAATAACGAATTTACGAAATAGATTAGTGGTGATCAGGTGTAACGTAAAATTATTTCTTTTAGGTTTAAAAGCTAAGTTACGGGACATATCGATATGATTTGAGAGCTGCACAGGGAAAACCTGTAAGTAAAATTTTATTCGTTAATCACATATGCCGATCTTAATAATTTGGCACTGGGGCGTGACCAATCATAGGGAATGACAAATATATAATAAATGATGATTTGTCATACATAATGATTGGTCACGCCCCAGTGCCAAATTATTAAGATCGGCATAGTGATTAACGAATAAAATTTTACTTACAGGTTTTCCAGTGATTCCGTGGACTGTGTTACATAGCACAGTTGCATAGCACACAGAATCCATAAGTGCACCTTCTATAAGCACGCTTAAATTCGGGCCCAAATATATACATGACCTTTATGAATGCACTTTTATTATTATTCTCTAAGTGCACGTCGTTAAAGTTCGGTCCCAAGAGCGTGCAAATAATGAGAAGGTTAACAAAGTTATATTTAAACTACAATAATAGATTACTACTATAAAGATATTTATTTAGTGAATTAATTAACATGAAATTTTTAGAGTTTTTTGCTAATTTGAAATATCTCATATTCATCAACAGAAATATATGAATGATTAACTTCGTATATAGATACATCTCTAATTCGTTTTTCATATGAAAATTGACCCATTCCAACATTTACGATCTTGATTCGAATTATTCGACATACATAAATCACATCCAACACCAAAAACTAGTCCATAATTCTTATCATTATAAATTACATATTCCGGTTGTTTTACTCGATTTAAAATAGAATTTTGAATTGTACTGTTTTTCAATGAAAAAATAAATCTATCATTGCAATTCTTATACAACCACTTATCCCATCCAATAGGATTATATCCATTTCATCAGCATCTCTAACCTTCATGACTACAACAAGGTGTGTTTTCTTATCACATAATTTCCAAAATGAATCAACTGTAAAACCATCTCTAGTTCCGCGAAGAATTAATTTGAATTCGTATGGATAATTTGTTGCAGAATATATATCAGCTTTTTTGTCAACCCACGAAGAAATTTCTGCTGCATGTTCCTCATTAATAATTGTCGAAAATGGATCGGTATTTCTAATCGGTAATGTTGACTTTAGAATTACATGAGGCGGGAGGATTATTGATGACATAAGTTTGTTATATCTTTCCAAATATTCTTATCCAGAATTTTTTGATATGGTTGTACATAATCAACAATGTCATCACCAGACATATGAAATAACGGATAAGAGGCAAGAAATTTCGCAAAGTGGTCTTTAAAGGTAGAAAATTTTTTTGGTCTAGTCTTCAGAATCTGATGATAAACTAGGGTTTTGAGCAATTCCCCCATTTAATAACATGATTCCAAATTTTTACTTCTTTCATTTGTAAATCTCGACTAATAAGCGAGACTAACGCATTTTCTTGAATCTAAATGAAATCTTCTGATTCAAAAATTTTATCAGAATATTTTACCACAATATCATTGCACCATTTTTGTAATTCTTGAAGCTTATTATTCTGGAAACTTTTTTGATAAACATAAGTAAATTGTAAACGAAGCCAATGAGATTCCTTTTCAATCAAATGAGTTTCAAGGTGTTTGATAATTTATCAAATAAAGTTCACAAGCAATAAGCATAAACTCAAAAATGAATGACGCTTTATAGTTTTCAAGTAAGACTATTCCTTCGTGGATATATCTTTGTTTAAAATTAAATTAGGTTTTAGAGTTCTTGCAAAATAATATAAATTAACATTACGTGTATAAAATAATTTACCTAATAATAATTTCAAATTGTTGTATAGAAACATTTTTTAAATCAAAAGGTTTAATATTGTTCTTATTTATTAATATTTGCCAATTCATTACGAAAATATAAAGATCTGTATCTTAAGATTGACGAGTGTGCTTGGAATATTTTGGTGTTTGGGGATTCTCCAACATTGATGATAATGTTAAAATCTTCTTCATCAAGTAGTTCAATATAATTATTTGAAAGCTTTTCAAAAAATTCACTGCCGTCTTGATCACTGATGTAAAAAAAAAGGTCTACTAATTAATTATGATGTACACCAGGATCGCAGAGAAACGATGTGTATTATTCGTGAACGTATTTTTGATGTAAGAATTTCGGTAATAGTTACGACGTAATATAGTAAAGTTGCACTTTTTTCATAGTATTGGTCATAGGAAGACTTTCGTATGATTGGCTGTTTAAATCAATTTCATTTTACATTATTTATACAGTTTAAAATACTTTTTTAAAAAAATAAAGCAGTATATAGAAGTTTTATCAGGGTTGTAGGACTCCATTATTAAAAATAAACAAAATCCCTTTTTGTTTTAGAGAAGTTAGCATGATAATACCCAATTCTATCTATCTTTAAGAAGTCGCTATTATTCTAACTTCTCTAAAACAAAAAGGGATTTTGATTACTTTTAATAGTGGAATCTCAATGTCAATGATTAGTAATTTAAATAAAACAACCTCGTCAAAGTCAATGGTGGATTTAAATGTGTTAGAAGTTAAAATTGATAAAGAGACTCCGAAACAATATCTTGACAGAATGTTGTATAGTGTTTCAAGATAAAAATTGGTCACCATATTAACACAAAAGTGAGTTTTTTTTTGTTATTAAGTCGTGTGAAAATTAGGACATGCGTTATTAGATGATATTTAGTTAATAAAATATTAATTTTCATAATTTTATAGAGCTGATAACTTTCATCAATCTGCACTCAAAGCTTACATGGAAATTTTTGAATTTGAAAAAGTTCCTATCGATCTTGTACTTTAATAATTATTACTAATTATTATTAATTACTATTGATTACTATTAATTAGTATTAATTACTACTCATTACTAATAACTACTATACCTTTTTTTTAATTAGATACCCCTTATATGCTTGCATTTTCTTTATTAATGCTTCACACAGATGTTTACAATAAAAGTGTAAAACAA